TAGTTAGAGTGAATTTGATATTTATGTCACTGAAAATTTCCTTGTTATGTTCAATATACAGCTTGGTCCAAAGTTCATGAAGGAAAATGGGTTGGAGCATGTTACTTTTTCAACTGCAGATGGAGCACTTGAGGCAGCCCCTGCTGTAAGATTGTTATTTGATATGCGAATGGTTTTCTTTGTAATGTTATTTTTTACTCTAATGGCACGTTTGGTATGCAGGTATAAATTGTGAGAATGGTAATGTATTTGTATGTAATTTTGCTAGGAAATCCTATGGTCATTACCATGTCAATGAAACTCTACCTACAAATATGTGTATTTGTACACAAAATTTCATTACCACATAATACCACCTCTAAATTGATAATGGATGGGAATGGAAATTTGTGCAGAAAATGTGGTATTTGAAGAGGGGCTAGAATTACCAATGGGCATTGGCATGGAATCTTCATTACAAAATTTACTTATAAAATCATTACCATGGTGACCGTTTATTACCAACAACCAAATGGGCCGAAGTAATGGATCTGGGAAGTGGGAACAATAGATCTTTACATGTTAATATGGACAAGTTCAAACCCTTATTTTCTATTGATGGACTATGTAATGTGTACAAATATTATGACTGCTGTTGTGATGTGCTCTAAATCTCTGTGTTCTCTGGAGCTGGAAAAGATCTAATACTGTTAACATATGGTAGCTTTGACATGTATACATGATTATGGGTCTTCTGTTGAAGTAATAATCCAGCATTTATAGAATGCGGTGCCATATGGCTTCTGGGTATCCAGCACTTTTATTTTAATATAATTTTCCTTTCTATACAAATTTTGAGCATTCCAGCTATCTTCAGGATCCCCATCATTTTCTAGGTCATAGTAGTATACTAGTATTAACATTTTGTACATCATAAAAAAATATGCTCACATGCCTTTGGCAGTTATTTACTTGTGATATCTGTCATCTCTTTAAAAAAAATTATGATATGCTTGATGTCAAACTCATTTAACAGTCTCCCTGTAACTGTAGGACTAAGGCTCTATTAGCCTATTATGACAGAACTAATCGAGTAGCTTTTTGAACTGTAAATGTATTTTGAGATACATGAAAGCTATATCAGCTATTACATTTTGGATCGAGACTCAATTTGAAACAAGCAATCTGTTTCAGGGGTAAAGCTGTTTAGCCAGCCTCTTTATAGACATTAGAATTATGTCATATTGACGTGTAACATGTAAAGTGGCAATTTACAAATTGTACCAAAAGAATTTACTAAAGTCCCAAAAGAATTTACTAAAGTCAATACACAATGCATACTTGTTATGAGCTTTATACTACTCATATGTATATTTTAAGTTCCCTAAAGCTGCTTGACTTTTGTGATTTGCTCAAGGCATAACATCCTTCCTTGACTATCAGATGGGGATAGCTGACGCAATATTGGACCTTGTAAGTAGTGGGACAACCTTAAAAGAGAATAATTTGAAAGAAATTGAAGGTGGGGTTGTGTTGCAGAGCCAGGTACTGTCTTGTATTTGTGAAGATATTCACTGTTTTATATATATTTCCTTGCTTCCAAAGATCTCACATTGACACACAAAATTCAGGCTGTGCTTGTTGCAAGCAGGAAATCCTTGGTTAATCGTAAAGGTGTTCTTGACACAACTCATGAGATATTAGAGAGGTTTGAGGCACACCTAAGGGCAGAAGGTCAATTTACGGTGTGCATGCTGTCCCTCTATTCCTGTCTCACAATTATTTTTTCTTTTCTTTTTATTGCTAATACTTTTTAACAGGTTGTTGCAAACATGAGGGGCAGTAGTGCACAGGAAGTAGCTGAGAGAATACTTAGCCAATCATCTTTATCTGGACTGCAGGTGATGTTTTTATTCTTGACTATGGGCCAGTTTCTATAAACAGAGAAACTGAGAATATGTCTCCCTCTTTAAATTGTCATCACATAGTTCTCCATCACCCATTTTATATAATTAAGAATATGATTTTCGTACAATAATTTGACCATCTTTATAGATTCTCCATCACCCATTTTATATAGTGACTTTTTGTGAAGTCCAATCATTTATCATTTATTTCCTGAAAGATGTGGCAATCAAATTTTAGCACCGGTGAAATAGCTTGTAATACCATACTTCTCAGTACTGTTTATACTTTCATGCAGGGGCCCACTATTAGTCCTGTTTTTTGCAAAAAGGATGGGAAGGTGTCAGCAGATTATTATGCTATATGTATCTGTGTACCAAAAAAGGACCTCTATACATCTGTTAAGCAACTTAGAACTGTAAGTATTTTTCTTTCACCCTTTGATATTGATGCTATGATTCATATTGCTTGCCAAACTCTGATTCTTCCCAAATGGATGTATAGTTGTGATATGTGTAAATGATTCTGGCAAGAACCATATTGATATCTCCTACTTGGTGATATGTGAGATTAATAAAGATGACAATGAACGAGAATAAGACCCAATGATATGTAGGAGGAAGAGAACGAATCTACTATTGTAATGGAGAACACTAATGAAAGAATTGTGATCACTTTCCACACTTACAAGGACTTGAATACTGCTCCCAGTAGAGTAACTCTTTTAAATTTAACTCATTTAAGGCTTATTGGAAACATTCAAACCCAACCGAGACATCTTTTTAATGAGCGTTGAATCTGTATTTATGGGGTTGCAAACACCAAACTGTACTGTAGATTAACTAAAATTAGTGAACTGAACAACTTTCCTAGATTCAACTAGATACACCTTTCCTTTCAAAATTTTCTAAATACAAACAATTAATATGTAGGAAATAATTAGAAGGCCTAGAATTAGGAATCTCATTACAATAAGGCTTTAAAAGAATAACTTCAAGATCTTTAGCAGATTTCTCTTATCCTTTGATTCGTACATCATCTTAATCATCTTTGCAACACGGATCATTTGGGGACCACTTTCGATTCTAAATCAACTATGTAAATTTGTGAGCCGGAATAACTATTTGAGACACGATCTTATCAAACTCTGCCTTGGCTCGATTCATGGTTGGAGTTGAAATTTTTGTGTCTACACTGTGTTTGTTGATATTTGACTGACATTTTGGATAACTTTGCCCTCATATTTCTTCTATCTTTCGGACATTTGGATTAAATGTTGATGGAAGTTTATTACTCCATATTATATTTTGAGGCTTACTTAGAGTGGATCGAGTTACTTAATATATTACTGTTCTATGCACTTCTTAAATTATGCTATTCTTAGTAATCTTTTTTTTTTTTTTTTTTTTTTTTTTTTTTTTTTTTTTTTGAAAGATGCTATTCTTAGTAATCTAGTTCCAGTCTATTTAGTTATTAAAATCTGTGAGCTGTGGTACTAGACTCTGTTCCTCTATACTTTTTTTTTTTCTTTTTCTTTTTTCCTAAATTAGGGATATATGCATCTCACATGCTGTCCAAGATAACTGTTTTCTTTAATAATTGATTAGATAACATGTGTTTGAACACCTTGCCTGTATTACAATTTCATATAGCCCACACTTCTCCATTTTGTTTTAGGATTAAATTGCTCAATGAGTTGGAAAAGCATCAGGGTGCAATTATACCGCAAAATCCTTTGATTGCTTTTGGATTTTATTGAATTTGAATCAAATCAAACAATCACTTATAACTGTAAATTTTAGTTCATTTTGAACTTCAATGCCAAATTACCTCAGGCTGCCATTGTTATCTTTCTTCAATTGATATCCTCACAACTATTGTTTAATACTCAACAATTGTCTGATGTAGATTGGTGGCAGTGGAGTCCTCGTCTCACCTCTCACCTATATATTTGACGAAGAAACTCCAAGATGGTGTGAGTTGCTCACCAAACTTGGCCTCTGAAGATTGTCGAATATCTTAGTCGTTTCTTGTATGCTCTTCACTCTTCAGACGACACATGGAGTAACTTACATATACAGTTTCGACAGAAGTATCTGAAAGCATTCAGTAAATTTTGTATGTCATGTTTATTAGAAATTATGTATCCACTATTGTCTTGTCCAACCTTCAACAGAGTAGATGAAAGGAAAGTGCTAATTACTTTGTTGTAGTGAGTGTCTCTTCTCAATTAATGTTGGATAGAATAAGAGATACTTGCATAGATGGTACCAGGGATTATGCATGTATTTTTTTTTTTTTTGGGAACAAATGCTCAATGTACTATATAACTATGTAAGTACTTTCTTTTTTATTGGTTACAAGCTTTACTTGTACTGAATTATTTCATCGTTCTTTGTACTTTATCAGTGTGTTTGGAATGAGTTGTGGATGGGTATTTGGATAAATATGATTTTTGTAAGAACGAGAAGCAGTTTAAGCTCGGTTTACTAGCAATTTCCATTTCCTGGTAAGCTGATGACATAGTTGCAGGAATCAGAGAGCAGCTTTGTTATGAGAGCAATCATATTATCAGCAACTTGCTACTAAAGTGTAAGAGTGTACATTAGAACTACTTCGTCACACTGGCCCTATTGATAGATTTGTTCTTTATATCCCTTCTTGGTTTCCATTGAAAGCAGAACATTAGACACTGGTACATTTTTCATTGCTTGGTTTGTGAAGAAGGGTAAAAAAAAGCATTTTCCTTTCGAAAATAAGGAATGCCGCATTATATTCTCTACCCTATTATCCCTATATTCTCCTCCCATCCATGATCAATCTTCTCCTCATAGTCCCATTTTCATGTTCCTCTAATTTATCTTCTAAGAAAAATAGAAACAAACAAAAGAAAACTATGTCTACAAATGTGTTTTCCCTTGAAAATTGTTTAAATGGAGCCGAAAGATTTAGCACTTTGGAGATATTTGTAGCCTGTTGATCCAAACCCAAGATTAGACCTGTTCAACGGGTCGGGCAAGCCAAGCATAATACAAAATGGGCCGAACTTGTCCATGGGCCATTAAGCCCAGCCCGGCCCGATCTATTTAAAATGTAAAAACAAACTACAACAACCATGAAATAAACACAATATAAGAGAATTATAAAGAACCTTAGCCAACAAACAAGATGAAGGCTGCAAGAAGTTCAAAACATTCTCAAAAGTGCAAGTCTGCAATTTACATCATTTGCACTAACTTTCCTAGGCATTACAGAACTAATCCTCATATACAAATTTCTTTTCAACTGTTTCAACACCACATCAGGGAGTTGAATTTGCTGTTGCAATACATATCATCCACCACCATTCTTCTTGCCTTTTAATGGCCTCTCGTACAGAAACTGAAATGCAAAGCAGACATCCAATGACTATCATTAGTCCTTTTCAAACTTCTACTGAGATCATGAAATTACCCGTTTTAACGTTGTTTTAACTGTTGAACCAAAATCAGATATACAACATATTTTCTGAATATACGACACTGAAAACTTAAAGGCAACATTTTGGAACACTGATGTTTTAACCCATTCTGATGTTATTGAAAGACGCACTAACCAATAAGGATCAGAATATCCCCTGATGTATAGTACTTATAATATCTAATTGTTGTATCTTCATTTACTACAGGTCATATCAGTAGTAAAGACAATAACCAAAACCAAAGAAAATAGAAGTAGATCAAATAATATAACCAAATCAACAATTTGAACTACATCTGAACAACAACAATAAATGTGAACCAAGCTTATCTATCATACATTCTCATATCCGAAAGCAAAGCCTCCATAGCTTCAAATTTCCCATGTGAACCAAGCTTATGTATCATACATTTATATGTCAGCAAATTATGCTTGAACCCCTCCTCTTTTTTAACTGATTTAAACGTTTCGAGCGCCTTCAAAGGATCTTTCTGATGTTTTATAACAGCTGCTACATGTTTTGCTAGTAAGGGTCTACTCATTACAAAGAAAATCACCCAAATCCCAAATCCCAAATTCTCAAGCTATACCCTTTTTAACCATTCAAAACCAATACCATGAAACTGGGCAAAACAGAACCACTGTCATTTCATCGAACAGGTGGTGGTCATAATTCCAAATAAGAAAAAAAGCAACAGAAGTCTAAATTAGCAATACCCATAAGTTATTTCTTCTTGATTAGACATTAAATTGAACGTATATAAATTGATTTTCGTAAAATATGGAGTTTTCGAGTTTAAAAATGATAAACAGGCAGGTGAAAATTCCAAATTGAATCAGAAATTTAGAATGTACCAAATTCGTGTAAGCAAACTGAATTAAGAACAAACTTACCGATGATGGAGTGAGAATTCTCACCAATCGACAAAATTGAAGGCGAAAGTGTCTCTTGACTTGTGAGATTTTGCAGTTGCGAGCAAGAAGAAGGGTGATAAATTGAAGATTGAGAGGAGCAGCAACAATATTGACGTGAGTAGATTTTTTTTAGGATTTAGAATTTGGAAATTTTTTTTTCTAGGGTTCACAATTTGAGGGAAATTGAGAATTTTTATTTTAAGGAATCATAATTTGATGTTAGGAATTTTTACAAATAGAAAAATTAGGATAAAAAAAGGCCTTATGAGTTATCCAATTTCAGTCCTTTTTAACTTAGACTCAACCTTTAGAAGCCCATTATTTAACCCATTAAAAGCCCGCCCTATTTTAGTATTGGAGGGATAAAATCCTTTTATAAAAGGGCTGAGTCAGGACTTTAAATGGGCCCCTAAACCATTGAACAGGTCTACCCAAGATATACAACCCATTTACCATCTGTTCGGGTTTTGTATCCTTCCATTACAATCAGGATTTGTACCTTTACAGCATTTCTGGTCTCATTAGTCAGGACAGTTTCTACCGCTATCAGCATATACACCATATAAGGAAATGGGACAGTACATAAATATCTGGTCTCATTAGAGTTGTTGCAAGCCAGCCTTAAGCGCATAATTATGTACATTACAAAGTACTATAATTTTTCAGAGATGTCCAAATGTGACAGTAAAAATTATCTATTGAAGACCTTACTTAATCTTAATTATTATCTCAGTGAGGCTCGACGATAACACATTGCTTTCATTGCAAATTTGAATATTTCTTCAGCTCCTCCCATACATGCACTAAGCTCAATAATCATTTCTAAATAGGCTAGAATATATTTTAATAGCTGTAACTTGCTGCTCGACCCTGAGATACCAAGGAGTTGACCATATCTAAGGTATTTTCTTTAGCCTAAAGATGATACAGAGGCAAATCAGATAAGTCGTCGAAGAATAAAATAATCAATCATAACAATGAAATTGATAACAGAGTGAACAGATCATATGAGTAGAAAATTCCTTAAACTTACTTTAATGGGTAGTCTCTCCAACTGTGGGGAGCTTCCAAACAAGTGTAGAACAAAAGAAATGTTGTAATGATTATATAGTTCCGTATCTATCAAATTCAAAATACGCAATGAAAGGAATAGTGTCCTTCGAACAAGTGTATTATTCCGGTAGAAGGTTCGAAATTAATTAGAAAGCTAATTATTCAGTGAGGTCAAGTGATCGGAATGCCTTCCGATTAGTAATATTAATGAATGATTCATATTACATCTTAATCTTTACTGAACCCTTCGGGTCACACATGTAACCGAACTGAAGAGACGAATTAATCCGAAAGATTAAATGACTCGATAGAGATTTTAAGAACTAAGACGTCGGATTCCGAGCTTAGAGCGTCAAAACCGAGCGTCGTAAGTCGAGTCGAATTCAAAAATAGACGAGACAGAAAAATCATCCAAACGACAAGTCAACGCTAAGCCGTAGCCTTGCATTGGCCTAGCCATGCGAGGGCTAGACTACCAATAGCCAATTGCCGCAAGGCATGGCTAGGCTAGCAGGCCTTGCCGCAAGCCAGCCCTTGGCTGATAGCGCGCAAGGGCCAGCAAGGCCAAGCATGCATGGCGCGACAGCAAGGCCATTAAGCAATGCATGCGTGGTGTGCCAGCAAGGCTAGCAGCCAGCCGAGGCTTGCTAGGCTTCGCTGAAGGATAGCAGCGCCCACCACATAGCGCAGCAGCCCGCATTGCGTGCGAGGCTTGCTGGCTGGGCTGTGCGTGTGTGTAGGCTAGCTGGCAGGCCTAGCCGAGCACTAGGCAGCCAGCAAGACGCGCCTTGGTGCCCAAGGCTGGGCGCCAGCTGGCGACACATGGCTATGTGAGGCGGTTTGCCTTGGGGAGCAAGGGAAGGTGGTCCTTCCTTGTGGTCCTCACCGAACCCCTTGCTCTCCTTGCGCCAATTGTCGTTTGGTGATTGTTTTGGCATTTTAATTTAATTTGGAATTAAATTAAAATTTATTTTTGCTTTTTACCAACTTCCCATATTGAAAGATGATGGGAATTCTTGGGGAGACTTCCCTATAAATACCCATCATGGGGTATTGGGATTTTCATTTGAGTTGGTGAACTTTAAGAGATCTCCATAAGAGAGAAAACCTTTGTTTGTAAACTCTAAGTTGTTTTGATCTAGCTTCGACTAAGCTTCGCGGTAGGGACCGGTTACGGTTCGGTAGCAAGGGTGTGGGCCGTTGGAGGTTCTCGCACTTGCGGAACTTGAAGCTTTCAAGTTCGAGCTCAACGGTTGAGCGAAGCACGCTACGAGGGTGAGCATTCTTTTTCTCTCTTCTTTCTCTTCTCTTATGTTTATGTTTATTTTGCATGCTTTTATTTATGTTGTAATTATTATGCATGCGATCCGGTTATTAGGTTTTGTTTCCGCGCGGTGTTGGACACCGTAAAACCCAACAGCAGTATAAGAGCCTCTTGCATTTAATTTTTACAACTAAAAATTAATTTAAGTGATTTAAAATGGATTTAATTTTCTGGTTTTTCTTCGTAATTAGATTAGGAGCTCGTTTATAATTAGATTAAAATCATTTTTTTGCTATTTTTGGCTTACGAACTCTGATTTTGACTTAAAACTAGTGAATTTTGGGTGGAATCTGTTGGGTTTCGTAGCGTCCAACGCTACGCGGAAGAGAAACCCGCCCAAGACCTGCCCACTAATTAAAGCAACTAAACATGCAATCACATAATTAATAACATAAGAGAGAGAAAGAGAAAAGACATTCTTACCCTTGACGCGTGCTTCGCTTGATTCACGAGATCTTACTTCAAAGCTCGAGCCACGCAAGTGCGTAGGCCTCCGACGGCTTGCACCCTCGACCCGACCCGAACGGTCTTAATCCCGAAGGTTAGTCGGGACTTGACCAAATAAAACTAGAGTATTACGAACTTAAAGGTTTTCTCACTAATGATGAGATGCTTTATTGAGTTCAACTCAAGTGATTTTTCCCAAACCCAAAACTTGGGTATTTATAGGGAATGGAGACTTGATCTCCCTTCTCCCATCAATGTGGGAGATTTGCATTTTCCTTTATTTTAATTTAATCAAAAACAAAATAAAAATGCAAGATCAATTAACAAGCTCCAAGTGTCACATGGAGGGAGAGAGTAGGTGAGGACCATTCAAGGGGGGGGGGACCAAATCCCCTTGCTCACCAAGCAAGCCCTTGAAATCGGTCCCCACACAAAACCGCACACCACCTCGCCACTTGGCTGGATGGCAGCCTGCCTTGGCTGCCAGCTGGCGCCTAGCACCAAGGTTCTGCAGCCCAGCCAGCCAGCACGCATCACATGCGCAACCAGCCAGCATGTAGCCAGCCAGCACACGCATGCGTTGTTGTTGTTGCTGTTGCTTGGTGCGTGCTACTGTGCGAGTGGCGGGGTTCTTGGTTCTGCTCTCTAGCAAGCACACACAACTACACTCATGCACACACAGCACCCTGCTGCGATGCGTGTGCTGTGCGAGTACGCTGCTTGGTGCGAGGCTGCGAAGAGCTGGGCGCTAGGCCCTAGCATGCTGGCAAGCACGCATAGCATGCATACGCAAGGCACCATGCTTGCGATGCTTGCATGCTAAGTGCAGCCTAGCTGCGACTATGCGTGTGGCTGGGTGCGAGGCCCACCACGCTAGCATGCATGCGGTTGGTGCCCTCGCCTAGTGATGCGCATGGCATCTTAAGCTAGCCTAGCTCTCGCATTGCTAGGCAAATGCGAGGCTATGGCTTAACTTTAACTTGTCGCTTGCTTGATATCTCGTCTCGTCGAATTCCAAACTCGACTCGACTTGCGACACTCGGTTTCGACGGTTCAAGCTCGACATCAGACGTCTTTGCCTGTAATACTCTAATGACTCATCTAATCCTTCGGATTGATTCGTCGTCTCGGATCGGTTATTCGATTGGGTTTCGACCCAAAGGGTTCAGTCAAGATTAAGCCGTAATATTAATTATACATTAATATTACTGATCAGAAGCGGCCTCCACCTAGGCATTCCGATCACTTGACCTCACTGAAGAATTAGCTTTCTAATAATTTCGAACCCTCTATCGGAATAATACACTTGTTGGAAGCACACCATTCCTTTCAGAATCGACGTTCTAAATCATTCTTTATCTACAACTTGTTTAAAATGGCCTTCCAGAAACCAAAATCCACCCAGAAGGTGGTTTTTCATTTTTGACGAAATTTTTTAAATCTTTAAACCTTGATTAATTATGGCATGCAATTGTTGGATTATGTGTTTGATTATACCATTAATATTCTGCAATTTTATTTCTCATTAAGCATGTTTATGAAGTCATAATTGATGCTTAATTTGGTTAGCTCTTATTTTCACATAAACTTGCAATTTCACATTTTTGCAAATTAATTGCTTGGAGTGTGAATGTTTATGGTGAAAATGTATTTTTGAAGCCCCTAAAATGTTAAAGATTCAATCTTTAATTGTTTATTTGGTTGGATCTTAACTTTCTAAAATCCACAATGAACAAATTTTTGGTCTTAATCATTTTTGAGTTAATTAGAATCTTAAAATGTTCATACTTGTGCTTGAAAAATTATTGTTCTTCATATTGAAAGATTACAATATTCAAATATGCACAAGTTAGTGTTGGATAAAATTTTTCATTAGATGAATGATTATTTATTCAACTATTTTTGTCAAATCTCATTATTAATTTATGTTGGTTAAATTAATTGTGAGAATAGCCCTCAGTTTTTGTAGCATCAAGTTAAGCCAAAAATAATTTTAAGAATGGTTCTTGAATTAATTTTGGTTTGTGCACTAAAAATTGAATTTAATTAAGTTGGACTTATTTTATTTTCAATATTGCTTAAATTAGTTCTAAAATAAATTTTGAATTAATTTTAAAGTCATACATAGAAAAAGGGGAATAAAATTTCGAGGCATAAGCACGTGAAATGAGACACCAAGCCTCGAGCACCACCCTTGGCTAGCCTGCATGTTGCTACCGAGGGAGTGCATTGTGCAGGTGTGTGTGTGTGTGCGCTATGTATGTGAGTAGCTGGTACGGTGATGCGGTTAGATGTGCGTGGGTGTGGCAGCCAGCCCGCAAGAGCTGTTGGCAGCGAACCTTGCAAGCACTAGCAGGCCAACCACGCACTGCCAGCGCTAGCAGCATGCGAGCATGCGTAACATGTCGCGAGGCTGCTGGTGCCAGCAGGCGCACCATGCGCTGCCAGCTAAGCATGTCAGCACCCACACGCAGCCTTGATCTTGGTGCCTAGCCCGCCTAGCCCTATGGCTTGGATGCTAGGCACTCGACCATTGAAAGGCTATTAATTTTGCATTTTTGCGGTTTTTGTTTT